AATGAGTAATTGAACTGCATTCAGAGAGAATATTGTTCAGCACGTGAGAAGTTCGTTGCGAATTATAGCGTTTGTTATAGAGCCACTGTTGAAATTAAGTGTATTGCAAAGTTGTATTCAGAGAGAATAAACCAGTTTTATTTAAGAAAGGACTTTTGTCGCTAAAGTTTCGTCGGAACGAATTTACAGAAAATTAACTAACGAACGGAGACATAACAAATTGGTGTCAGAGAGTGGAACGAAAAAGAAAAAGAAATGGAAACGAGAAGCGGCAAATCAAACTACAGCTTAGCAGACTTGGTGGCAGCAAAAGAAACAAGAAGAACGAGAAAATAAACAAGAAGAGAGACAACAGTAGTTGCAAGAAAACCTGCAACAGTGGCAGCTTGAACAACAAAATAAACAAGAAGAGAGATTACAACAGTTGTTTGAGGATAAAGAAAAGAAACAAGAAGAGAGGTTACAACAGTTGTTGGAGAAAAAAGGAAACAAGAAGAGAAATTACAGCAGTTGTTGGAGGAAAAAGAAAAGAAACAAGAAGAAAGATTACAGAAGTGGCAAAATACCTACAACAATGGCAGCTCGAACAGCAAAATAAACAAGATAGACTACAGCAGTGGTTGGAGAAGAAAGAAAATAAACAAGAAGAGAGACTACAGCGGTGGTTAGAGGAGAAAGAAAATAAACAAGAAGAGAAGTTACAGCAGTTGTTGGAGGAAAAAGGAAAGAAAAAAGAAGAACAAGAAAAGAAACAAGAAGAGACCACTACAGCAGTGGCAACTGGAGCAACAAAGGAAACAAGAAGTACAAACGGAAAACAGTAGTAAATTTAAAAGCGAATTAGATATGTTAAAGGATGATTTATTGTCTTTTACACAAGGGGGATACATTAACCATCGACTTAACCAGCACCAGACAATGACAAGCCCCTTCCAGACCCTGCAGCTAAACCCTAATGCAGACATCTTCAGCCCTGTTAGAAGTCACATCCCAGATATGAGTGTCAGTAATAGGAGTGACCCAGTGCGAAGGAAGCCACAGGAATTCGATGGGAAGGCACCGTGGGAAGCACATAGAGCACAATTTGAGCTACTGGCAGAGACGAATGGATGGACAGAGGAGCAGAAAGCAGTATATCTGCAAAAAGCTTGAAGGGACAACCACTGGAAATACTTGAAAGATGACAGGCACAACTATAGAGCACTGGTAGCGGCTCTAGAACTCAGGTACGGAACCCAAAATCAGTCAGAAGTCTACAGGGCCAGGTTCAGGAC